TTCGTAGGTTTTTTTTACGAAACACATCGTGTAAAGGATCTCAAAGTGGCTATGCGCGGTATATTTTCAACAGATGCGGAAAGAAAGTAAAATGTGGAAGAAATCAAGTGTCATTTTCTATTTTCAAATGGCGCCAAAACCTTAGCAACCGTAAAAATTTGTCTGACAACCTCACTTAAGCTCAGCAACACAGCAAGGGTGATACCAAATAGTGATATCAAAATTTTTATCATAGTTTAAAATACTCTGCTGGAGATTTGTTGCTCGTTCCGGTGACACAAGGATGAAAGGATGAGGCTGCTGGCGTTAATCAGATCCTGAGGGATGTTCCATGCACTCGATCTCACCAAGTATCGATGGAGGTGATTGAATGCGTATACGGCCTCTGTAATGACTTGTGTTGACATACCGATGTATGAGTTCACTGCAGCTACCCTCCCAGAAGGACTAATTTGCCGACCCCGAAAAGATGGAGGGCATGATGAGCCTAGCATGCTTAATCCAATGAACGACCGCGTGCATACTGCAGGACATCTTTAACCACTGTGCTACACGCGCTACTCAGTAAAGGTGCTATAGTTGGTGTTATAGTGTGCTGGTGGTATGTTGATTATTCGTGCCAAGATTAAATGAACCTGAGGTCTGAAAAATACGTGACCGAAAGCGTCCATTTGAGCAAACACGAGGTGTTCCTTTATTCTTTATTCCGTTAAAACTGAAGTTTCGGCAGTATCGCTTTCTTCAGGACCTGGAAGGGTAATTGATAGGCAATTTACTATGTCAAACGCTCCAATAACAAATAAAGAAAGATGAAAACTTAAATCGCAATCACACGACCAACAGCTTTTCGAAAAACCCACCGTTTATTACGTGCCTTCCACTGAGGAAGAGCCGCTGATCAAAATCGCATATGATCGATGAATGCGCCATCCCACATCAGAAGTAGATGCAGGGCGAAAAGTACGGGCGAGATCACGTGTGATCTCTGGGCATTCACCCTGGTAGTCATTCTAGGGTTCTGGGTATTTATCCAAAAATCCTCGAGAAGTTTGCGTCGTGGTATTTTGTCATCTCGTGCGAGGATAAAGGCCTTCATACCATAAACGTCTCTTTTGTATCCGATGAGTTCCTGGGGGGGGGGAGCTTGTCTTGCTTTTCGTTTGCCGTCTAAATGTTCTTTTACACGGATACATAAAAGTCTGCCCGTTTCGCCGATATATTTGTTTCCGCAAGTACCACAAGAAATCAGGTATGCCGTACCTAAACTCATGCAGTCATTATCCTTGCCCTGAGGACAAATTACACAACTTTATGTTACGCATTGACGGTCATATAGGCGGTTACGAACTAACTGACGGCAGAGAGTGTCGGGTCGTATTTCGATTATCGCTACCGATTCCTCTAGACTTGCCCTTCTTACGCATCGTTTTGTAGCTACTCTTACTTCATCGGAAGTTAAGTGTAACATAAACGGCGTTTTATTTCGGCAAAGCCCTTCACTTTGAGGGGTCACTTTCCTTCTAAATTTATCTAGTGGAGTTACTACTTCGTTGCCATTGGAGATGACTATTTACCGAGCCAAGTCATGTGATTCTTCTTTTAGTTTTCCACTTGTGTACACAGAGGTGGCTGTTCTAAACATGTTTCTCACAAGCGCCCTCTTTTTGTATGAAGGATGAGAAGAGAGGAAACGAACGATTTTTTGGTTTCTCCCGGGTGAATTTGATGTACTCGGACTACTCATTCAACAGTTCAAAGCATTTGTCCATCTCCTCCTAAGCAGAGAAAATAACAAAATCTATATGTCTACAACAGAGTGCCCGCCGGAGATCAACGACGGGCGCTTCTATTTTAGACATAAACGCAATGGCAAGACTTGGTGCCAGACGCTGTCCCATTGCCAACCCTCTCATTTGCGCATAGTATTTCCCAGATCATCTGAAAATCGAACAGTTCAGGCACTTTTTAAAGCTATAAGGTGCTTCTGAATAGACAAGCCATACATATTTATTCCTTATTCATGTTCAACAAGAAGTTCGAGGATGGCTTGCATTGCGGAGTCATTCGATACGCCGGTGTACAGCGCAGTAACGTCGAAGGACTCCATCACGTATGCGTTATTAGCAGACGCGTTGCGTAGACGTTCTAGGAATATTTGGGTGCTTGTGAGGTGAGCTGGAATGTGGTTAAGCAACTAGGTAAGTATTCGGCTTAAAAACCAGGTTATTCTATCCGTTGGCCCGTCTACACAGCTGATGTTCGGTCTAACCTTAAATGATGACGGATTGGTTGACGCAAGATCATCAGGTGATACTAATTTATGTGTTTTAATAAGTAGGTATAGGACGGGGCATGTTGGTGTATCGATTTTAAAGTGCGAAATAACCAATGATTTTAAGCCTGCCTCCTTTGCCACTTTGACGCACTGACTGTTTAGCTTTCGGTATTGACTTTCGCATTCCTTTTCAGAGCATGGGCGATAAAGGGTAATATCACTAAGGTGTTCCTCAGTTATCTTAACGTCTAGCTGGCGAGAAATAACTACGAACTCTCCCCCTTATCACTAACTGATAGCCTAGTGGTCTTTGAATTTATTAATTCTCTAATTATCGCGTGCCATAACTTTACGTGGCTGTGAGGTTAGAACCATAGTTTTTATCGCAATAGTGACTGAGGGTTTTGAGAATATCATCCGAAGACATGCGGAATTTTGTATCGATTTCAACTTTAGGGTCCTGCTGCCTAAAGAACGCTCTAGAAAAAGCAGACGATGTTAATCTCGCCACCTCTTGATTTTCATTTTTACTCTATAGTTCCTTTTTGGCCCGACAGCGTAGTCGATCTTGAAGCTCATTCAAACTGCATTCGATCTTACACACTATGTAATACTAAGGTAGTACTAATGCTAAAATAACCTTGCAACAAAAGTTTGAGAATCTTTTGACTAGTTCGCGTATCTCAGCTTCAACAAACCAAGAACGAATTATCTACACTTATGGTCACCTGTATCACTGTATCACCTGTAGTCCCACTGATCGTCGAGTGACTCGAGCAGGCGCCAGTAAATCTTCCACTTTCCGTGCCGCGTGCAAGAGTGGCCCAGTGGGTTCTGGTCGCTCTAGGGACCCGTCGAGCATCATATCTTTCTTCTCGGTTTTTCGCAAAGAATTCTGTACATCGGGTCGGTGGTTTCTCTGCAGTACGTTTGACATCCCGAGGAATCCAGTCACTAACGGCTCTTGTCCATCGGTTGTCATTCATACGCATTACGTGTCCGGTCCACCTTATCATCGACTGCTTGGCGTACAGAACGGCAAGTGCTTATGATATGATAGGTGTCAAAGTAGGGTTGGTAATGCACCGAGAAAGTCTAGGGTCACTGCACTTGGAGGTATGACCTCATCTGAGAGCGCGCGATCATTATTAGAATTGGGTCCAAACTTTTCACCATTACAATCCATTTCTAAAGCAACTGTGCGTTGTACTGCATGAAACCTCTATGGGATTCAAGGTCGACTCCGCTATCAGACTAAACAAAGAGCATCAAATAGAGATGGAAATCAAGAGGCGGAGAGATTAACACCGTTGTAACGAAATGGTTAGCGGTGAAGTGTAGCCGTTCAGATTAATGTAGAATATTAGCCACGCGGGTCTTTTAGTTGATGCATTTATCTACCAGCTTCAAACTTGGGTAATTAAACATTTAATACATGAATACAACACTAATGACATAATAGTAACACGATAGAGAAGTAATGGTAGACGAATGAGACAAGTTAGAGCTCTGAGGTACTAAGGCTTGTAGTGAAGTCAGGCTAACAATGAGGCAATGGCATTCAAACATTATTATACCATTAATACAATGTTAACAATAATAATGTGATTACAAAGAAGTAGCCGTTAGTTAGCCGTGAGCGCCGCATCTATCCGCGGCCGGTGCGACGGCTGAGGGAGACAGTATGCTGAGGTGGTGAGAGTTACAGACTGGCCGTGTTTCGACCAAGCTAAGATTTCAACATTATAGCGATGAGGAGCATTTTAGTGGTTCGATGAGGACTGTAAGTTACATGAGCGTTGACGGTGCTATGGACAGTAAATGATGAGTCATCTACGGAACACGGTCAGGCGACTGGTCGTGAATAACGCCATGTCAGCAACGTGAACTTTGAGCATCGATGGGTGCCACCATTGCCTAAGGGTAGGGGCCAGTATGATGAATGGCTACAAAACTGATAAGCCTATAGCGGCTTAGCAGAATACATAGCATAAGTTGGCCGCTTAGCGGCATTGTACGCATTGCGTACATTGTGGGAGGAATGGTACATGCCACCGATGGCGTTGCAAACAGAACGCATTTAGAAACACGCGCCACTACTGACATCGCACCGTAGACAAACTGAGAAACGAGATACAATAATCTGCTGATTACTGAAGGATGAATGTGAATGTGTGAATGAATGTGATTGAATAAGAATGAATGATTATGACTAAGAATGAGTTGAGGTGATTGAGGATGATTGAGGATGATGTTATGAGGAGCGGATTATCCGCGCTACCGATCGGGGTTAAGGTGTGTGATGGCATGTCTCCGCCGTCGAAGGCACCTGGCTTATATCGGCTGCGGGAGCCGCGAGCGTATGCAACCGCGGTTAATCTGGATTGTTGATCCTGGACCGCAATAGACTGTACCTAACTGCCTGAAACATCAAACGTCATTAGCTTCGTTGTTTCGCAAGGAAGTAGCAAACTGTTCCACTGTTACGCCTCCTTCGGATAAGCCATCGTCGGTATGCTACTGAAGTCAAACTTGAATCGCTATTGTGCCTGAAACATTGAACATAATTGACCGAGTAGATTACAAAGGTTACATTGCGGTGTTTGATGTGCGACTGCGAGGTGCCTATATTTGGGCATCAAATACTATTATTTAGATAGATAGAGAACTTTTCAAGAGAGTTCTCTATAACGGTTTCCTTTTCCTAGAGCCTTCTTTAGGCAGCATGACTCTGACGTGCACATCGATCCAAAATTTCGCATGTTTCCCGACGATGTTCTCAAAACCCTTAATCACTATCGCGGAAGAAAGTTTATCTCTAATTTCACAGCTGCACAAAATATGGTATGCGAGAAATTAGAGAATTAATAAATTCAAAGACCATTAGGCGATCGTGTGATTGCGGTTTAGATTTCAAGCTCTGTATGCGCTATTGAAGCGTTTGACGTAGTAAATTGTGTATCAATATACCTTTCCAGACTCTGAAGAAGGCGATACTACCGAAGTGTCAGCTTTAACGGAATAAAGAATAACGTAACGCCTCGTGTTTGCTCAACAAGAATATCGAGAACTATTTGATCAATGCCAAGGTTAGTAGAAAGTCGGCCGTGGGAATTACATTTGATAGTTGCGCTTACAAATGCGTAGATTGTATTCTGCTCGTTGGTTCACATGAAAGCTTATCCTGAAGTGGATGATGTTGGAGATGGTTCAGGATTATCTCCAACAAATAATCTGGCCGGCTGCTCTCGGAGAGCTCTACATCGTCAAGACAGCGAAGATAAGAAGCCTCATACGGAAAGTGTTCTGCTTTTTTCCTCTCTCGAATAAGCAAAACGTAATGGGCAGTTATTGTGAACGGCAAGAACGAATAGAGGTTCTAATGCTGCCCGTTCACTCGTTCGGTGACTAGCGAGTCTGCAGTTGACACAAGTGGTATTTTTATTAATAGCTAACTATTGGTTGTTGTCGTTTCACTTTTTGCTAGTTCTGATGGTCTTTGGACAAACAAAAAAAACTGGTTCCGTTTAAACACTGGCAAATTGTTTGAGGAATATCCCAATACTATCAATGAAATTAGTGCTAAGTTCTAATCAGGAAGCTCAAGCGAATGGAAAATATCACCAATACGTACTATTGTCATTCATATTCATGCAGTTTTTATTTTTTTTACAGCAATTCGACACAAGTATTGGTTCATTTTTCAATTTTGCGAAGTCAAAGTGAATACCGTTTAAGGGTAACATGTAACCGAGCAGGCGAGAAGAGTCAACACAATTTCTCTTCAATGGACGCTGCACGAGCGCTTGGTGGGCAGATTAATAACGTTTTCGGTTGGCGTGCTGATATGAAGAACTTCGACATGGAGGTGTTGCTCAACATACGAAATGACTGTGTTAGTTTACTGCTTCTTTACCTATATTAACGGTTGCATCAGTGTGAACGCTCGGTGGTACTCGGAACGACTTCAAAAATCTGTGGTTATCTATGTCTATTGATCTTCAACGGTGTGAATTCGAATTAGGAAGAACGGAACTGGTGGGTGGCTCTGGTGTGGTTTAACGTCCAGCGTTGCACGCTTTTACATTCTACTTGGTTGGTAATGGTGAAATTGTTTTTGTTATAAAAGATTGTCGCTAATGCTGGTCTAAATGTCTATTGATCATTCTTGAGAAAATAAACATAACGGTAACATAGATCTTGGGATCACAAAAGTTTTTGTCATTTTTTGTACTTCACTGGAGCTTCTAATCTTTGTGGATTCTAAAAGGAATAAAGTGAATTGCAGTTTTCGTCTTGATGTAGTCGTTGGGATCACTTACATGCACCAAGGAGTCTGGCCTTAAGTTGTTTCAACCTGCCTGTCATTGTTCGAATTTCGTTCATTCCAGCCTATGATTGACCGCGAGAGACTGTATCTGAACATTAAACTACACAAACTGCAGCCATAATGGCGCTGAGATGTTTGCAAAACCCCGGACCTCTGGTGCCTGCGGGAGGTGGAAGGGGGCAAGTGAGGGGAGCCGAACACGCTGTTGCCCTTTCCGGGAGCTAATGCGTTTACCACCATGCGGGTCCTTCATTCGGCTTAGTCTTCGCCTGTTTTCTATCTACCAGTGCCATCAGCAATTGCCCGTCAAAGGGATGGATCTAGCGAGCACAAATCGGCATTGAACCCAGTTACGCTGAAGTTTTGGTATACATTAGAATGTCTTCAGTTTTTATTTACTGCCTACTGTTTTTTAATGACAGAGTATTATGTGGAACATAACCATAATGGTGCCGAGATATTTGAGAAGTTTCGGACCTCAGGTTAATAACACTCTTGAGAGAAAGGTGAAACGTAGGGCTCACATGGTGAGGTGGTGAACGCGTTAGCTCCTGGAAAGGTTAATAGTATGTTCGACCCCCACCGCAAACACTTGCGGCTCGGAGTTTTGCAAATATCTCAGCATCATCATGGTTAGGTTTCACATAATACCGTGCTATTAAAAAATCGTAAGCAATGAATAAAATCAACGACATTGTGATTTATATGAACTATACAATTAAAAATATATAATATATATAACTACAAAGTGCGATCTATAGGAGAAGACCAATGGGGTCATCTAAGTTGGAGACTATATTTCCACACGGGAGCTTACTAAATATTGTCGTGTCTAACTGATATTACGGCAGGGCCTCTAGACTTACCTGTGACTACATTTTCGCCAAGAGCAGTGGAGCAGTAAAAAATACTGGACATTTTAGCAAATGGATAATATTCTATGCATTTTGTTGATTTTATAATAATAGTTCTGGTTCGAAATTCTTGATTATTAACGGGGTTATGTATAATGCAGGTAATGTGGTTGCTGATACGATTCGTTAGAACCTTTCTTTTGAAAGGACGCTGACAAAAGTTTACTAGTAAGCAGATTCTCCAGTACAGTAAGGTCATATGTTCAGCAGGGATCACAGTGAGTCATCAAAGGTTTCTGGAACAACTTACTCAACAGTTTCTTCTCAGGTGTTGGTTATGGTAGCACTCAACAAAGAATCACTTTTCAAACGGAATATCTGCGCTTTTGGTCCGACGACAATGCGACCAACTATGTGTTATTGTATGGCTGCGTTGGCTCAGCCAAAAAGAGGTGCGACTGCTTTCATTTCAGTGACGTTTAATATGTTATCTTTCTGGTTTGCACACCAATTTGGCACAATCTTTTATTATTTATTTACTGCTTACAATTATTTTTACGACTGGGTATTATGTGAAATGCAACCACTAGGTTGCTGAGATATTTGAGATATAAGTCATGGAGCATATATTTGCTACCACCTATATCGCTGTACTACCGTTGAGAGTCGAGTGACTCGAACAGGCGCCAGTAAATCCTCTATTTCTAGGATTTTCGTAAAGAACTCCGACCATCGGGTCGGTGGTCTTCCTGCAGTGTGTTTGAAATCCCGAGAGATCCAGTCATTAACGGCTCTTGTCCATCGGTTGTCATTCATACGCATTACGTGTCCGGTTCACCTTATCTTTGACTGTTTGGAGTATAGAACGGCATGTTTGATTTTTGATCGTTGACGCAGGTCTCAGCTTCGGATCCCTTCCCTTACTTTCGTGGCTCGGGATACTCCTAGCATCGTCCTTTCAACTGCGCGTTCAATAACACTGAATGATTTTTAGTCCTGTTTACGCAGTGATCAGGTTTCTGACTCGCACGTTAATGCAGGAAGTACCGTTGAGTCGAAAAGGTGACGACGAAGGTGGGTGTTCTTTGTTCTGCTCACTACTTCCTCGATGCTGTTGAATGCTTCCCAAGCTACTGGTTTCGCTCTGCTCAGCTCTGGAGCTAAGTCGTTCATCATGTTGATTTCTCGCCCTAGATAGACGTAACTGGACCATTCGGAGATATTCGTTCCATTGAATGTGATTGGTGCATACGAAACAAGTCCGTTCCCCATGAGCACCGTTTTTATGAGATTTAGTCGCAGACCATTTCTTCCACAGGCTTTATCAAAGCCGGGAAGCCCGCTTGGCTAATGTTTGGCGTCCTTAGACTTTGTCATCAGCAAAGCGAAGATGGTGTAATTGCCGACCATCGATTTTCACTGTTGTCTCATACCAATAGTTCCCAGGATCGATTTTCTATTAACCTCGTCATTGGAATATAAATGCGTCGTTTTCTTGTTCAGCAATCGCGAGGTTTTTAAACAGCATACATTTACTTCCATTGAAAAACACAATACAATACAACACTAGCTGACGTTTCGGAAGTATCGCTTTCTTCAGAGCCGCTTTTTCGTGACTTCCAATGAGGAAGTTTAGAACAGCTGATTATAGTCGCATATGGTTGACGACTGCACCATCCCACATCAAAAATCGATGCCTCTTCTGTAAAGCGGCTCTGAAGAAGGTGATACTGCCGAAACGTCAGCTAGTGTTGCATTGTATTGTGTTTTTTTATGGAAGTAAATGTATGCTGTTTAAAAACTTCGCGATTGCTGAACAAGAAAACGACCATTCTCATTCCAATGTTCGCATGACATTTTCGAGGGTTGCTGTGAATAATTTTGGCGAGATGGTATCGCCTTGCCTAACACCTCTTCTGACGTCGATGTTAATATTGTTGTAGAATTGTGATATCTTGGTTGCGAAATTTTTCTACAGTTCACGAAGGATCTTTATGTTTTGAATAGGGAATCCTTGACTATCAAAGGCTTCCATGACTGCTTAGTTGAGTCAAACGCCTTCTGTAAATCGATGGAGGTGAGACAGAGCTGTCTTTTGTACTCTCGCGACACTTGAATGAGTCTCGTTATCGTGCGGATGTGGTCCATCGTACTAAATCGTTTTTGAAACCCTGCTTTATCACATGGCTGCCCTTCATCCAGTGTTTTGTCAATCCTGTTCAGGATGACTCGACTGAAAAGTTTGTAGACGAGAGACAGCAAGCAGATTGGGCGATAATTGCCGATATCATGGAGGTCACCTTTCTTGAGCATCAGCACGATCTTGCTGTTCCATTGAATAGGGACCTTGTATTCAGACAGATAACGTGTGAAGAGCCGAGCCAGTGTGTTTTATGAGGACTGGCGGAAGGTTCTTTAGGTGTTCAGGTCTTATCCTGCCCGGGTTTGGAGCTGTTCGATTTTTTACCGACGAAATGGCATTTCGGATTTCGGAAGGGTGAACCGGTTGTATAACATTTCCATCCTTCTTTATTTCATATGACGGAAGGTGGACGTGGCTATCGAAGAGATCTGAATAGTATTCGTGAATGATTTTCTCCATTGTTTTCTGGACGCTTTAAATGTTCTGCCTGGGCGCCGGAGTGCAATCATCTTGGTCTTGTAATCGGCGAAGCTTCGGTTTGCTTTGCTTTCCTCAGCCTCTGCAGCTTCGACCATTGCTGCTGCTTTTCTCTCCTTAAGATCTACTTTTATCTCCTTTCTGCATTGTTCTGAGAGTTCGGACTTTCGAACTCTGAGCCTTAATAGCGCCAACGTGATGATGATGAATGAGCCGGTCGTATTCCTCGTCGGTATTATCGACAATGGTATCTTCCCAACGGCCGACTAATGAGTTGAATAAGTCCCAGTTTGTAGTGGTTTTAGGACCTCGTTTTTTGAATTTAGCGGCTTTTTCTCCTTTCTGCGAGAAATGGAATCTTGCACGAAGGAGGCGGTGGTTGGATCCTGTGTAGAATTTTGGGACTACAGCAACATCGGTTAGGCAAATGTGGTCTATTTCTTTATGGTGCTCTCCACTGGGAAATTCCTACGTCTAGCGTAGAAGTTGGGGCTTCTGGAATTACGAGTTACCATCGATGGTCTTGGTCGTCATGACAAACTCAGAGAGCCGCTCACCCTGTTCGTTCCTTTATAATCTGTGGATACCAGTGTAACATTCTTCGGACGTTCTTGGTCCAATCTTGGCGTTAAAATTTCTAACGATGACCTTCAAGAATGTATGATCTTCTCTGTAGAACTTCTCCAAATCCATATAGAATGCTTCGACTTCTTTTTCGTCATAGCTCTACGTCGGCGCGTAAACGACGAAAATTGTCCAAGCCGGTATTGATTCACATCTTTTTAATAGTAAACATCCGATTAAGGTTGTAAGTTGTTCGAATGAATCGTTGTTCATGGGCAAACTCGTGTTGACGATAACGCCACCACCGTCGACTCCTCTACTGTCGCATGGTCCGAGGAACAGTTCTCCGGTGTCAGAGACAACGTTGAATGGGCGGCGTTGTCTCATTTTGTCCTGGGCGATGACGTCGTACCTTATCCTTCTTGCCTACATGAGCAAGTTTTCTATCGAGGACTCGAATGCAAGTGTAAATCCATTGTAGGTACAGATCGTCACCTTAGTTCTTCGCGGTCCAGGCAGCTTCCATTGGCTCTGAAATTTAAGCAGCCTCTCTGTACTCGTCCTACCCAACGCCGCGAAATTGGGGGCTCTTTCGAGGTCAGGGGAATGAGGCCCGTTTTTTAAACTGTCTTTAGCATTTTTATACCCACGTATAGCTTGCTGGGTTCTGAACGTGGTGCTGGGTATACTTACGGGTAGCATGCCAGTCTCTGCCAGAGTGTATATGGAGCTTATTTGTTGGAAGCGACTCCTAAGCGTCCTCCATGTATTCTCCTGTCACTTGATTGCAGGCTTTTGGTCGAATTGACTCGTTGAATACAATCCGCATAAGCAAGAACGCACCCACGCGCGCATGCATGAATACACCTAACAAATACAGAACAAATACAGAAATACAGTGTGTGCCAAATCGGAGCAGCAGAAATAGGGGTCCATCCGCTGGATCCACCTGCGCCTCAGGGAAAGGTACAGTCGCTTTTGTTGAGCGATTAACCCCCTATCCGCCACCTAAGGACGTTCCACGTAGCCGTAGCCTCGCGACTAACCGGTTCGATATTCCTCACATGAGGGACCTCCGTGGATACTCGCTATGCATCCTATAATTTACTTTTTTATTTTAATAACCTACCATGCTTTCTTTTCAGTGCAATAAAACTGCAGAGTCGTCTGTGCAGATGATTTTTCTCAACACTATCAATTTCTCCGATTTTACAAAAGTTTCTGATGCTTCTGATGTCAATTTTCATGGTGCTTACTATATGCCGTTAATACTGTTTTATTTTGAAGGTGACTTGCGTTTGAAAGCAGCAGCTTATTTTTTTTGTCGAGCTGTATCTGTGTTGCTGAAGTGGGATGAACGTTTAGTTTAATAGTTCTTACGAAAAGCAATTGTGGATTTTCAAGTGAAAGGAATGCCTTTTTTGAATTAAGCAATATTGTTTGAGTCTTTTCTTGTTCAAAATTGCGGTGCGAGCTTAATTTCTTTTAACTCTCACTATCGACTTTCTATTAACCTGGGCACTGATCGAACGATTCTTTACATTCTTATTTAGCAAGATGTTATTTCTTTATTTATGCACAAGCTGACATTTCGGCGGGTTTCGCTTTCCTCAGAGCCAGGGAAGGTCAAGTTGACTGCAATCTACTCAGCGAAACACCTCCATAACCAAACAGAAAAAATGGTAAACCAAGCTTTCAATCACAGCGAACACAGAATAGCTTCTTTGCACACTCACCGCTTTCTATGAGTCTTCTACTGAGCATGTCGCGTGAAGACCAACAGCACAGAGTTCACATGAAAGCGTAATGGGCTTCTCTTATCGGAAAAACGAGTTTAAATACTGCGCAATATCACGCGTGATTATGAAGCATTCCTTCCTTGTTTCGGATTCTCGGTATTAATCCAGTATGTCTGGAGAGTTTTGCTTCCTTCTGTTTTCAATTCCTATGCGAGGATCGTAACCCATACTTCAAAATCTCCCCCGTTATGTCTCTTTGTTCTATGCGTGCCTAGTAAAGTATTTGGTTTAAGTTTAACGACGAAGTGTTTTTTATACGCATGCAAAGTGGTCTACTCGTTTCGCCAATGTATTCGTTCCCACACGGTTTACAAGGGATCAGATAAACTGTACTCGAACTCATGCAATCACCGTCTCTACCATTGGGACAAATTATGCAATTTTGTGTTACACATAGACGGTCGTAGAGGCGGTCGCGAATTAGCTGGCGTCTTAGAGTGCTCAGTGGCATTTCTATTACGGTTACTGAATTCTCTAGACCTGGGCTTTATAGCTGCACTTACTTCATTTGAAATACAGGGCAGTATAAACGGGACTCTTCTATCGCTAGAGATGTTGTTTGGAGGCCTAGGATTTTCCCTACACCTATCCTGAGCTATAGTTTCGTAGCCATTAGAAACGGCTATTTGCCGTGCCAAGTTCTGGGACTCCTCTCTCTGCTCTCTTCTTGTGCACATGCTCGATGCTGTTCGAAACATGTTATAAGCGCCGTTTTTGTATATGAGGGATGAGAGAAGAGGTAATGAACGAGTATGTTTTTACTACTTGGCTTTCGGTGCCATTTCATACTTTAGCCGTTTTCTGATAGATTAATTTGCAAATCAGAAATGGAAGCCAGTTTTCTTTTGGTTTCTCTCGGGTGAATTTAATATACTCTGACTGTTCGTACAACAACTCGAAACATTTGTCCATTTCCTCTTGTGTTGAACAAATGACCAAACAGTCATCTATATATCGACAGTAGAGTAACGGCCGGAGGTCGATTACTGGTGCTTCCACTTTAAACGTAAATGCAGTGGCAAGGCTTGTCGTTGTCCTATTGCCAGCCCTCTTATTTGAGCGTAGTACTTTCCGGACCATCTGAAGATTGAGAGGCTCAGGCATTCTTTTAAAAGTGTCATCAAGTGCTCTATCTTGAAGCCATGCATGTTTATTTCTCCTTCGTGTTGTATAAGGAGTTCGAATATGGCTTGCATTGCGGAGTCATTCGACGTGGTTGTTTAGAGGTGACGTCGAAGGACTTCACCACGTACGCGCTGTCGGGTCGCGCGTTACATAGACGATCCAGGACCATTTGGTTATTCGTAAGTTGGGCTGGAATGTGTTTCAACAACTGGGTAGGTATTAGGGGTAAAAACCACGTTATCCTATCCGTTGGCTCGTCCACACAGCTAATGATAGGTATGACCTTAAATAACGATGGATCGGTAGACACGAGATCATCGTTGGATATTAACTTATGGGTTTTGATAAGTAAGTAGAGGAAGGACATGTTAGTAAGTCAACTTTGAGATAAGAGATAACTTATGGTTTTAACCCAGCCGCTCTTGCCACCTTAACCCATTTGTTGTTTAACTTTCGGTATTAACTTTTGAATTCCTTCTCGGACGACGGACGATAAAGGGAAGCATCTTCAAGGTGACTTTCCGTTTTCTTAACATCTAACTAACTGGTGATGAAGATTCGAGGAGATGGCTCACTGAAGAAGACCTGATTCGACACGAAGACGAAGCTGCCACGTCGAGACGAATAACAAGCGAGGACCATTGACTCGGATCATCGGCTCTGAGGAAGACGAAGACGTCGAAACGTTAGCCGAAAATAAACATCATTGTCAACTTTGTGTAAGCTCATCAAAGAAAGAATACATAACTGATGAGGAATGGCAACGAGCTCCCCACCCTTATCACTAACCGAGCCTTATGTTTTTCGATCTTATCAGCTCTCGTACCTCACTCATACCACGTTTTTGTATTTCAGTGAGGTTGGAGCAGTATCTCTTGGCGCGATAGTGATTAAGGACTTTGTAAGTTTCATTCGTAAACGTCCGAAATTTCATGTGAACTTCATTACTGGATTCCTCTTGTCTAAAGAGCGGTTGTGGAAATGGTGGTATTGGTAGTGCCCCTAGTTGTTGTTCGCGCCTATTTAGCGCTTCATCTCTAGCTTTTTTGCGGAGTCTGTCTTTAAGATCGTGTAAACTACATATGACTCTACGCAAGACTACCCTAGAAATTAGTTGAAATGACGAGAAATTTAGGCCTAATCCTAATAATGAGCGCGCCCCTTGTTTTATTCTTATTTAGAGTGTTTTCACAGGTTTGTTTCTTTTGTTTTTTGCCGTACGAATGCATCGCCTTTAATGCGTTTTTATTGTAATTGGCGGAATACACGCTTTAAAATACAATTATTGATCAATTTTGCGTGGTAATCAATGACTACAGTTTGCACCATGAGTTTGTTCTGCGTATTAATAGGTAGTGTTTCTCATTCATAGGCGATATTATTCTGGATCCGATGTGCGGAGGAGGTTCGATTCCATTGGAAGGTGCATTGGCATACGACGGTTGTCTATTTATTGGAGCCGATATACATCCAAAGGCTATGCAAAGGTGCAGTGAGAATATGGTATGTTTCTCACTATTTTAAAAAAGATTGTTGTAAATATTAAAATAGACAGGATCCTCGAAAATTAGGCAAAGTAATGTGGCTTCGCACACCAATCGATCATGTAATACATAAATCCTAGCAATTGGAGCCAAGCGAAGTTGCTTATTAAAAGCAAAATCAAATGGCTTGATTAGTGGGCGGCTACTAAGGTGATTAGTCGTACTGGTGTAATTTTTGGGATCTGGGAAATTTAGCGGCTTATTGAGAGGTTGTCATCTACAAGCAAAGTAGAATACCATAAACCATTTGCTTGTTAGGTATAAAATTTAGTACACTGCCTGAAAGAAAAACGAGCTATCTAAATGTTCTTTGCCTGCTAAGTTCTTTTATTGTTTTTGCGATATCGTTTTCACAGATTATGCGAATTTCGCTTCACTGAGTAGTATTTGCTTACTCAACACATATACAACAATTTGGAAGTGTACGCCCAAACGTGACAGCGTGAATGGACGGTATGGGCACTATGGGGTTTGTGTACAATTCAGTGGATGAAAGAACTTTTTTCTCCAATGCATATATTTATTCGATAACTAATTGAAGGCAGATCAAAGTAGGAGTTTGACAGCAGAAAGTAGAGACTACGTATTCCGAACAAGTTATTTGGATGGTAATCGACTGCCATCTCATTTTCAGTTACCATAATGAATCACAGTTATCGTAAAGAATGTGCAGATACAATCACAACGACCTGAGATATTCGCAAAACTTGAACAGCAAAACAGAACTAGCCAAAGACACGCAAACAAGAGCCTTCGTGGTGCAGTGCGTAATGTTCGAGCCCCCGGAAAGGGCAATTGTGGTCCGATTTAGCTTGGGATCCAAGTTTTGCAAATATCTCAGCAAAATAGTGGTATCTTTGTTGGAAATAACTGTTAAGAAAGGAAAACATCGGGTAAAATACACGCATATAGTGCAGAAAACCCATTGGCAAAATAAGTTTCTATGCACTGGTTTTACAACTTTGTAGTGTTTTGCTTTATCCACAGAGGTCTAGAATCTGCTTCCCTTCCCACGGTTTACCTCTTCATCGTGGCTCGCAGGTGTTTCCTGGTGTCGGGTTGCGCTATACAGCGGGGGGACTCATTTTCTAGCAGGGTCTTCCAAGCAAGGAAGTAGTTCGGTATTTCCATTAGGAAGCCCAGTAAACCAATACCAGGATCCACCAGTGTTTTGGCATCAAACTGGCAGCATAGTGACAAATCTCCCTCTGATCCATAAGGACAGCTACTGTCTGGCGTGGTGAAGACCCGGGAAGACTATGGTTAGGCTGATCTAGGGACTCAAGGGAGCCGCAATGGCTAAACTATCAAAGCTCAGATCAAGTGGAAGTTATGCTGGGACCCGCACAACCAGTGAGTACGGGCCATCTAAGCGTCCAAGTAAGAATCTTTCTGAGTACTCCATTGTAATAAGCGTTGCCAATAATCTTTTACGGTGTTAACTTCTTCACATGGCTATAGTTTTTTATGCTTCAGCTTATTGAAAGAATTAGGAAGACGGGGAATGTTTAGTAGTCGTCATTGATTTCGTTACACATCGACTGATAACGTTTCTGAGTGCAACTTATTGAAAAACTTTACAGAAGTACTGTGACAAACAACTGTTAAATAGCGGTTCTGAAGTGGCGTTTCTATGCTGTGATGCTTTACTACTACCGTTTCCGACGAGTTCCATCAATGCTATCGTAACTGATCTTCCGTAAGCTCTTAAACATTCTCCTCTACTGTCACTAGAAAGTGCTTAGATAGTTAGGAATTGAAACAGAACTATAGGACATGGCAAATTAAAGTTGAAAAAATCACAGGCTTTTGAGAGCTCTTCTTTAAGTTGAGGTAATCTTATCACCATTTTCGCAATTAGCCCTACTTCCCACATTAGTCAGACAGGTAGGGCTGCTGAAATTAGTTACGAGAATCTCAACGCTAAATGATAGAATTTTCTTCTCATCATTCAGTCGCAAAATAGTTAAAATCCTAATTAAGGCATAATTCGACAAGTGCTTTTAACGAAAACCAGGAAAGTGTTTTTTCTATCAAACTATCTCAGTATTGTCAAGGACCATATGTGTGACCGTTGATGCTTAGAAATCTGCTAATCGACATCGACCATAAAGGAACACGAGGACTTTTGGTCTTATGTGTAGTGCAGTGGCTAGAGGTACCCCATAATACACATGTGATCACAGTGATGTTGGGATATTTGCAAAACTCAGATCCTAGGCGAGATTCGAGCAAGTGACGATCCTTTCGGGGGTTCGCCACTGAGCCCTCGCTTTGCTTTTTTTCTCTGCAAATTTCCTTCTCTAACGGGGTCATTAGCAGACACCAGTCAACGGGGTTGATCTGGGGATCGCAAATTGGTGTAGAACCTAGTTGGGCTGTATAGTTGGAATCACAATGTATAACTTTTTAGTTACTGCCTATAATTTTTTCTATGGTAGAGTATCATGTGAAATACAACCACAGTGATAGTGAGATATTTGCAAAACCCAGACCATATTCAGGGTGGTATCTGATGGCACCGTTAGGGTAAAGAAAAGGATGAGGGAAGGCAAAGCAAGCGCCTCAGTGGTATAGCGGGTAACATGTGAGTCCGCGGAAAGTATAATTGCAGGTTCGGTTAAAGCACTTCCACGAAAAAAACAGTGGTCCAGGATGAAACTCTCGACGCTGATCAGTTCCTGTGGAGTGCACCATGGATTCCATTTCATCAACTATCGTTTGGAGGTGATTGAATGCATGTGCTTTACAATACCTCACGGTGGCCTACTGATGTATCGAGCCAGTGCTGCTATCCTCCCAGACAAATCTGGTACCAACTTGCCGACCGCGGAGGTATGGAAGGCGTGGTGATCCTGTGGCGCTGGGATCGATCCCATGTGTATTGCAGGAGGCCTCTGACAATTGCGCTGCACGCGCTGCTGTCTAGAAAAAAAATAATGGGCAGTAAATAAAAAGTTATTCACACATGGTTATTGGTTCAATCCTGCAATTTGGGTAAACCAAGACGTCTGTCATGAGTCGTCAAATTACTGCAAGACTTGTCTGCAACGATGGGAAGCACTTAATTAACATATCGATATAAGTCATTCTATGGGTCAGAGTCCATTAAATTGTATCTACGAAGCTAGGAATGGTGTCGAATGCGCGACATATCGTTAAGCAATGTAGACTCAATGTCGTACGCTTTGCCTTCATCTGTGTTTAGATTTTTGTAGCTTTTGAGAGTATATTTGAGAGAGTATAGAGTTCAGAAGTGTTGACTTCCCTTGGAATCAGCTGGTGGTGTTGGATTCGCTTTTCGATTTTTTCATTCTGTTCTTTATTTTTACCTATGTTTTCGAAGTTCTAAATGCAATCTAATGCATCGTAAATCTTAAGCAGCTAATCTGGATATATTTCCGCGTTGTGTATTGCCATCCATCGGGTTTTCCACGCTTTAACACTTTGTTTTTGTTCTTTTCAAATCTTATTTTGTTTTTAAGCCTTTGTGTCTCCGCATCTAAATGCTTGACTAGTTATTATGACTTATCTTTAGACCTTTCTGGAATTGGTGGCACTTTTTTTTTACACATGTGTGTTTTGCTGGTTATTCAAAGAAAGGTTTAACGTTGCAAACGTACAACTTAAATAATACAATGGTTACTATATGGGCCATGTAGGGATCGTACTCCTTATTATACTGCCCCTTACACCTATTTATGCTTATATATTTATAAAATAAATAAATTTTGAGGGGTAGAATGGCATGCTGTCTGAAGTGACTCCAAAAGCTTTGAATAGTAACCATTTTGACTAACAACTGGACGCCTGTTCATAGTTCATTATGATGCCTCTGTTCATAAATCAATTAATCAACAACTGATTTTACAAACCTTTTTATGATTATGTGTAAAGCAACATAATGGCGTTCTTACGAAATGTGTGTCAAGAAATCTTGCCAATATCACGATAGAGTACTTTTGTTTATGTGACGGATTCATCGTACGTCCAGTGTACCTCACTTTATAGAGTTATATTTACCGACCTTGGAAGAATCCCATTTCTGGGTTTTTTTTCTTTTCATAATACCTCTTATTGTCCTTCATTTTCAGATTCGGTAAAAAAATAGGTTCCGTTGGGGACAATCGTGTAATATATCCACGTCTTCTGGTAGAATGGGAGAGAGTGGTGAAGGCTGGCGGTCGACTTATTGTAATGACGCGCGATAAGAGAAGTTGGGGTAAGAGTAATTTCTTACCATAGGTCCTGTATATTTTGCCCTTAATTGTTTGTTGACTGATTGACCATGGAGTTCGGTAGAAATAAATTAAGGACAATCTTAATCTTCTTAACCTCTTTATTTACTACCTATTCTTTTTAACGGCAGGGTGTGTTGCGAAATATAACTACGAAATATAACTAAATGAAGCACGTTTAGAAAGAGCACTGGCTTTGAATGGCGGAAGGTGGCGTACGACATGGCGTCGTATGGTCAACGTCGGTGGTTTGCAAGCCCTATGCAGTCTTCTAATTAACACAAAAAATAGTCAAGGATTTCCTTCATGATATTTGCTCTTTTCTCTTTTCATTTTTGACATTCCATGCTCAATTTCTTTATGTTTGTTGTCTTCTATAGAATTTCTATGAATAGTTAAAAATTTCCTATTTTCTCATTACACGAAACAAAAACAGAATTTTTTTTGCACAAGGCACGAGAATACAACCAGAAATAAGGAGGAAAACATGGAAACCAGAACAATAACAAATGTAGTAAATAAGTGACATAATGGAAGCATATTTAAATTGGAGGCCAAAATCTCATTGGGAGGTTGTTTCTTCACAAAGAGGAAAAGATAACTTTGTTAAAAACTCGAAAGACCGACTTTCTATAAACCTCGGCATAGATAGTTGATATATTTATTTATGTGATCTTATAAACTGA